CCCTCTTGTTTCTTATGTGTAGCCAATTTTGGTGGAGAATGGGTTTCTTATATAGTGTTGACACATCTGGGGTTACACCATGTAAACCCTAATGTGTCATGACTCTTCATTTCCATGACCCATGGGTTTGTAACTCCCATGGAGCATCCATGGAGCATCCTATGGGTGGAACCCAACTTGATAATCCATGGAGCCTCTTAGCCCACTATATAAGATATGGAAGATTTACATAATCTACCCATATATTTAATTAGTTATCTTTTGATCACTTAATTAATTCTAAATTAATTCTTGATCAAACTAATTAAATAATATTATTAATATATTAGAACTTATAATATATTAATAAACCATAAGTGTTATTTCTCTCATTTTAGTTTATCCAATTGCATGGTGCCATGCAACCCAAATGGACCATGCCGGGTCGGGTCAAGTACATACCAGAAATAGTTATGGACTTAGACACCTTATCCAACAGATAGCTGTGTGGTATGAGATCCTTTCGATGGTGTTGTTCGGTTATTGGATTAGATCTATATGTTGTTGAGAAGCGATTTCATTTAAGTGGGAGAGAATTGTAACATCCGGTTTACCAGGTATATTGTTTTGAGTATTTAATTCAAGGACTTTAGAGGGACTCGACAAGTCGGTGCCTCAACTTGTCGAATAGGGTTGCGACTTGGTGACGTGGTTAATGAATAGACTCGACGAGTCGGAGAGATGACTCGCCGAGTCAACGCTGTTGACAGAAACCCTAATTCTCTCGGGCCTGGGCCTATTTAAAGGCTCTTAAGGCCTCCTATTGCGGCTACATTTCAGAATAGAGAACCCTAAACGAGTCCTTAGTGTTTTGGGCAAGAGAGAGAGCCATTTTGAGCTTCTTGGTGGATGGTCTGCAAGGAAGAAGAAGGTTTCAAGCTAAAGGGGGCAGAGGAGGTTGTAGATCCGCGATTTACAACCTAGGAGCATCAGTTGGAGGCATCAATTCGGACCCCTTTTCTTCCCTAATTGTGTAGATCTTCCTTTTGAGGATTAGGGCTTGTATTATCTTCTTGGTGGGGTTTTGATTGCATCAAACCCCTCTTGTGAGCTGGTAGCATAGATCTTGACCTTGTAAGGTCCAGAAAGTCAGAAAGTAGAAAGCCATTGTTGTGTAACCATGGGGTTTGGAGGTTAGGAAGCTTTAATGGAGTCTAAATGGCATATTAAGCGAAATATGCCATGCATGGACATCAAGATCAGACCTTTACGTGACTTTTGGGTGCTAAAAGGCCAGATCTATAAGTTAGAGAAACAGATCTGACCTCAGAAGGTCAAATGAGTGTTGCCATGGAGGAAACTCGTCGAGTCCATGAGAGGACTCGACGAGTCGGATCGTGTTACCCCGTGATTCGTGATCAGTGGAAACCTGTCGAGTGAGAGGTTAACTCGACGAGTCGAGTGGGGCCTAAGGAGGAGTCTGAGGACACGCATGGACTCGCCGAGTCACCTGAGTGCACTCGGCGAGTCTGGTCAAAGTTAGACCGTTGACTGGAGTTGATTTCAGTTGACCTTAGGGTTTGGTCAAACTGATTCAAGAGAGGCTATGGAGGGGTAGAATGGTCTTCTACCCATTCTTTAGAGATGAGGATATAAAGAGAGTATTGATTAGAGATATTATCATTTTGATAGGCGGAGGCTAGATCAGGGATATTGAGCACGAGAGTTTACTAGGCATCATCGAGGTGAGTCTTCTCATTATACATTACCTAGAGTGGTAACTATGTGCAAACCGGAGGGTCTTATGTGTTATGTGTATGTTTGAGTTTATGTACATTGTGATATATGTATGCTATGTGTTATATAGACCGGATCGGAGGGTCCAACGATTTAGACCGGACCAGAGGGTCCAACGATTTAGATTGGACCGGAGGGTCCAACGAGCTAGACCGGACTGGAGGGTCCAACGAGCTACGGGACTGGAGGGTCCCCCTGAGACACATTGACTGGAGGGTCATACCGAGTTATAGCCTCGAGTGGCTTATGTGTTGTGTGTGGTATTTTGAGGAACTCACTAAGCATTTATGCTTACCGTGTTATGTGATATGTGTTTCAGGTACCAGCGAAGGTCGCGGGGAGGCGCCGGCATGATTTGTACACACTGGCAGAAGATTATGTGTTGAGATTCTGGGATATGTTTTATTGTGATGACATTGATACATGAGATTTTGAGAATATTATATGAGTTTTATTATGTTTGAAATGTGAAAAATTGTTTTAAAATTTACGTCGTTACACCCGGAGTTCAAATATTAGATCGAACGATTTCTAGCCGATACAACCTAAACGAGAATCGAAGATCTCATTAATAGTAGCGCAACGGTAAAAAGATAGACAAAAACAGACGTCGGATGAAGAAGTTATGGATTTTTAACGGACTTTTCATGTCCCGTCCTGTTAAAAATATAACTTTAAAAATAAATTCAAAATTAGCCAACGGAGTCTAAACGAAAGTTGTAGAGTACGGTCCCCACCTACGCGTGGATATAAATAATGTCGAAAACGGAGCTCGTATGCGAAAGTTACGAATTTTAGAAATCGGGATGACAATTTGCGAGACTGTCCGAGGGGGTACGCCCAGCGTATCTTGGGACGCCAAGCGTTCCGGAGTACGCCCTGCGTACGAGAAGCGAATGTCGTACGGTTTGACTTTTTCAATGGATTCGAAGTGGCCACGATGCACCATGCAAAGCTTGACACGTCGATGTACGAACGCGCTGCGTACCCTCGTACGCGCAACGTTCCGATGAATGCCCAACGTACCACCGAAGGTATGCGCAGCGTAGACCGCAGCCTCAGCCTATAAAAAGGGGTCCGAAGCCATGCGTTTTTCTCACACCATTTCACACTTCTTTCTCTCTTTACTCCCTCTCTAGCCTTCCCAAACACCCCCCCAAGTCTAGGAAACTTCCCTAGCAATAGAAGAAAGCCACGGAGCGCGCGAAGGCTTCGAGAAAAAGAGTTTTTCGGTTTAGAGACTTTGCCCCCGCATAGCCCGGTTTTTAAGCAAACCATCCGGTTTCGTCAAAGGAAATTATTTTAAGAAGCGAAGCGCTGTCCGAATCATCACCTTATCAAGTGAGTGCATAGTCCCTTTCATGAACATGATTTTAATAAAAATATTAATTAAAGTATTAAATATCTGTTAAATAGTTAAATATTTGTAAAGAGTTTATGTGTGCATATTATCTGTTTACTTGAGATCTGTGCTAGATGAAAGATTTAAACTTCTTTGTTTTTCAGATCTAAACCGTATATGTATTTTGTTTTCAGATCTGAACCTTTTTCTTCAGATCTAGGCTGTAGATGTATTTTGTTTTCAGATCTGAACCTTTTTCTTCAGATATGAACTGTATATGTATTTTATATCTACAAATATGTTGGGTAAAACATGGGTAGATGAAATAGTTGGTGTGTGATGAAAAATGAGTTGGAGGATGAGATAAAAGGTGATATAGATTATGAGATGAGGGTGAGAGGTGAAAAAATGAGAGAAACATTTACCCAAACGTTGGCCTCGTCATTTAGCAGAGTATGGATGACAACCACGGACTATTCTAGACGGTCCAGTGGAACACCAGCAGGCTCGTAACCTGTAGGTGTGTGAACGATATGTTCATCAGATGTACTCTAAAAAACCCATTGACATGTATTGCGGGTGGACTCCCAAAAATAATATTGTCTATAAATGAGAGCTATGGAGTTAGCACCCGTTGGATGAACCCTGATAGCTATGGATTTAGTGTCTGTTGCATAAACCCTGGCGACGATAGACTTCGTGCCTATTCCTTAGGAAAAATCCTTAGGAATGAGTGATAGATCATTTGTAGGGTAGATCCTTAGGGATTAAAGAAGATAATGAGGATGAGTAATTGAGTTAATTGTTTGATGATAAAACATAATAACTTTATTATTGTGGGTTGAAAATCCCTATGTACTCATCAGGTTTCCAACCTGACCCACTCAGTTTATTTATATCACAGGTGTCGATATAAATCTACACTACACTGAGGGATTAAAGATATGTAGATCGCTAGTGTAAATGAATGTAAGTTATGTTTATGCTTATGTTTCTGTGTTGACGTTGACATCCCAAAGTTTTAAAAAGAACAAAATACATTTATTCGGAAATGCTTTGATAACATATTTATCATGTTTTTCTGTGAACAAAATTCCGCAACACTTTTCTTTGAAAGATTACTCTGATTTTATTATAAAAGCATAAACGAAATCGGTCTTTTCTGGCCGTAAAAATGAGGATGTCACACCATTGTCTTATACACAAGTGTCATTGACTACCCCCATGGTATTTCATACAAATGTCACTGGCTACCCCCGGGGTCTAAGTACACGTTGCACGAAGAAGGTCCAAGTACACGTCGCACGAGTAATGATGATTCGTATATGGCAGCGATACGATATATTATCGCGCAAGATATAACAAAATTGAAGAGATGAATGTAATATGGCGTTACCTATGATACCTTTTTATGCATTATTTACAATTTGTATTCTATTTTTGTATGAACATAATTTTAATTTTGTCATGGTAAAAAAAATGTTTGAAAAAAAATATATTATATATTTTGTAAAAAAATGTTTAAAAAACTAAAAATTTTGTTTAGTCATTTTATAGGTAAAAGCTAAGTCAAATACTTTTTAAAAGTTTATTGATTTTTATTTTTATTTTTATCACTAAGACTTGAGGGAGTAGAACATAACATGTTATCCTGCCACATTATCTTTAAAGTCAGAAACTGTTTGTCATGTCATTTTTACTACACAACATAAATGACATGATATTTTTAAGGGGTGGATGAATTTGATAAAAATAATAATAAAATAAATAAATAAATAAACAAATTCACATACATTCTTTTTCTCTCTTGTATCAACACTAAAATGCCATTTGATTTTGCCATTATGTCATGCTATCTTTGACTCAATGGTATTTATATTACATGCCAAACAAATACCGCAAATACCTAATACTTTTGTCACCCACTCCCTCCCTCAAGCCTAATCCAAACTCTCTTAAGGAAGCCCAAAACTGCACTCCCAAACACCCTCGTACCATCAAAAGGTGGGGAATAATTGAGGCTCCTTCATATATTGGCCTTTCTTCCTCATCGAATCACTTGTTCACATACACACTTTCCAAAGCACCAAAAGCACAGCAAGCCTTAGCACAGGCGCATCCGCGCATATAGTCGAGCTCGGTACGTTTTTGTTGAAAGTTTTTCTCTTTGTTTATGGATAACTTGTTTTAGTTGTTTTTTGTTTTGAATCCATCGGTCCTTGACAAAGTATCTGGAAAAAATGTTTGATTTGCAACTCATTGTGAATTGTTCGTGTATACTCTACAGATAAAATCAACTAAATGTTTAAAACTATAAATGAATGATAATGTTATTATGTTAGGGCATCTAGGTTTAGGTTCAAGCCCCTTAGGGTTTAGGTTAGGCCAAGGGCATTTATATGAGGTTTAAGACCTAAAGATATCATCGACTTTTCTACGTTGGGTTCATTTCCCTTGTCATCGTTTCAGAAATTTAATGGAGCGTTTCAGTTCTTCTCGAGTCTCCAAAGGAATTTTCAAGCTTGCCCCTCGAACCCGTGATATTAGGGAGCTTGTTTCAACTGAAATCAGAGATGAATATAAAAGTACGAGACCACTTCAACTCGAAGGAAATTTCATCCCCAAAGAATGGGATAATAGATTCATTATAGAAGCTGAAGGGTACGATATCCCAAACAACTGGATAAACACCGATTTGGATCAACTGATCAACTATATCCATGAAACAATAAAACACACAAAGCTTCAAGGGTTCGAAGCTCAGTTGCTAGTAGCAGCTGCCTCTTATATGTATCGACCAGGCACTGTTAACGAAGAGAGAATGATATCCTCCACTCATTTCGGTGATACCCCTTTATCATGGAAGCCACTGAAAAGAGAAACACAGGCAGGTGGCTATACTAATCAAGCTCTTCCTCATGGAGTAAGGAAGTTTGGACTTTTTGTTTGTGGGTTTCTACTCAAGGTGTTGACTAAATCATCAGCAAACATTCGATTATCTTGGGAAGCAAAGACAAAAAGGTATATGAATTTCTATAAAATGGGAACCAACAGACCAAAGGAGTGGGAAATACCAAATGATGAGTGGGTTGAGATAATCAAGAGACAGTTCACAAGGAACATATTAGCAAAAAAGTCAGCGTTAAGGCTAATAAACAGCTTTGAGACCCTTTATTGTCTGAGAGAAACTCATGAATCTGAATTTGTTAGGTATCTTTTCAGTACACCTTTATCTTACACAGGTATGCATGCATATAAGCTGTTCTGTTCTTGTGTGCATAAGTTGAAGAAGGACCCAAGTTGGCTACTTACCAATCTTCATTGTCATCAATTCGCACCAGCACTATCCTCAATTCATGATGTCTTGCAGAATTGGGAAGAAGGATCACCAAACTTCAATCCTGCTTTTAGATATGCGAGACTATTAGGTCCTCAATTCTTCTCGAATCTCCAAACAAAATCTTGTGCTGATTTAGTCTACTGTTTGGCGTGTATTATGGAGAACTTTGTTCAATCCACTGAGAATGACCAGCCTACTAACATTGTGGAGTGTGAAAGATTGGGAAATGAAGTGAAAGCCAGGATGCAAGCTGCAGCAGAGAATGTTATTGATGCGTCTAGGGTTGGGTAGGGTAGGGAGGTGCCTTCATTATGCTCCATATTAGTATGTTAGCATCTAGGTTTAGGCCAAGACCCTTATGGTTTAGGTTAGGCCAAGGGCCACTTATGTATCCGTATTTATATGAGGTTTAACCCTCACTATTAATCAAACAATCTATTATATAACATTTAATGCCTCCTTGTTTTCCCTCTTTTGATTATTGAACAATGTTTTGGAGGAATGGTTTTCTTATGATAGATGCTTCCACGCAGAGACCAGTTGTAGCCCTAATAGTTCCCTAATTTGTATTGTTGTAGGACTCTGTTTCCAACTAATAAATTCCCTAATTAAAGGCACAATATTTCTTCTTCATCTCTCTCGATTTTATACGATTTTGAAGATGTTGGAATTTAAAAATCTATTCCCACTTTCAATCATTTCAAAGATACACATTAATTTTCAACTACTGTTTCTTTTCTAGCCAAACGTGTTATGTGTCCTAAATCCTGACGGAATCTTTTATAATGCTAATTATCTATGGATTATATATATATATATATATATATATATATATATATATATATATATATTTGGATACATGGACGTGTACCAATTAACAACTTGTAACAATTTGATCCCCATTTTTTAATTTGTTACATGGTTTGCAGGTCTATAAAAGCTAGAATACTGAAAGATGGAGTTTGTATCAACAATCATTAGCCCTGTTATTGAATCTTTGATGGTTCCTGTCAAGAAACAGCTAGAATATATCTTTTCCTCCACAAAACATGTTATAAACATGAATACTAGAATGAAGCAATTGGATGCTGCAAGCCTTGATGTCAAAAATCACATGGAGGAACAACTGAAAAGGGTTGCAGAAGATAAGAAAATGTTTGATTATGTTGTGAAGGTGGTTATTGGGCAACAAATTGACATGTTTTCTATTCAGCAAACTGTAGCAGAATACATGGGTGAATCCCTCACTGAAACGAGTAAAACTACAAGAGCAGATCGTCTTCGTATAACATTTGGAAACCTTTCAAAAGGTAGAAGCAAGGTTTTAGTGATATTAGATGATGTATGGGAGACGATTGAACTCAAAGATATTGGATTGAGTCCATTTCACAACGACTTCAAGTTGTTGCTGACATCACGAAATAAAAATATTTGCAATAAAATTGCAGTAGAAGCCAATTTGGATTTGACACTAGTAAGAGTGGATGTGATGGAGGAGGTCGAAGCACTGAATTTCTTTTGGCAAATCACAGGAGTTTCAAAACAACATGATGTGGAGCTGAATCAAATAGGAAGTGAAATTGTGAGAAGATGTGGTTTTTTGCCCCTTGCCATCAACTTTGGTAGCTTTTCCAAACTTAGAAACTTTAGCTCCTGAAACTTAATTCCATCATTCTTATTATGTGCAAGTACTTCCAAAACAGGACATTGTGAAACTGTAAGGGCGCTCAAGCGTCACCAAACCACTTGCAATAGGGATTGTGAAGAGGTATCTTAAGTTTTCACACTTGAAAACATCAAGGACTCTTAGATTATTAAACGTCTGTTGGAACCGATTCCAACCGATTCCGGTACAACTTCTTCAAGATCATTCATACCATCCACTTCTAAATAAAGCACCTGGGTTGTGGCAATGAGTTTGAATCAAACTCATTGTCACAACCCAGGTGCTTTATTTAGAAGTGGATGGCATGAATGATCTTGAAGAAGTTGTAGTGGAATCAGTTCGTCTTCCTCAACAGACGTTTAATAATCTAAGAGTCCTTGATGTTTTCAAGTGTGAAAACTTAAGATACCTCTTCACAATCTCTATTGCAAGTGGTTTGGTGAAGCTTGAGCGCCCTTACAGTTTCACAGTGTCCTGTTTTGGAAGTATTTGCACATAATAAGAATGGTGGAATTAAGTTTCAGGAGCTAAAGTTTCTAAGTTTGGAAAGGCTACCAAAGTTGATAGGTCTTTGCAACACTGCTAATGTAATTGAGCTACCAAAGCTGGTGGAATTGAAACTCGATGGCCTTCCTAATTTCACTACCATTTATCCTGAGAATACATCTGCAACATCTTCTATGCCCAGTAACATGTCTTCCAATCAACCATTCTTGAACAAAGAGGTACCTCTATATTAGTATTTATGCTGACAGTTTCATAGATTGTCTAAGTAGTTGAAGTCAACATGTCTTAATTATTGTGCAGATGCTAATTCCTAAGTTAGAGATATTGAAAATTCTTAGTATGGATAAGCTGAAAGAGATATGGCCTTGTCAATTTAGTGGTAATGACCAAGTTAATACCTGCATGTTGAGAGAGATTCATGTGAAGGGATGTGACAATCTTGTGAATCTGTTTCCAACAAATCCAATGTCGCTGCTGCGTCATCTGGAAGAGATTAGTGTTTTTCAATGTGGAAGTATTGAAGTGTTATTTGACATCAACATGAGCTGTGTTGGTGAAATCGAAGAACGCAGTAGCAACTTGAGATACATTTGGGTATGTAATTCACAAAAGCTAAGAGAGTTATGGAGGATGAAAGGTGAAAGTAGCTTTGATATCCTCATCCATAACTTTCAAGCTGTTAAAAGCATAGTAATAAGTGGGTGTGAGAGCTTTGTAAACATATTCACACCAACTGCCACCAGTTCTGATGTGAGAACACTTATGAATGAGTATAGATGGTAGGAGACCTCGGGAAGAAAGCAGGAGAAACATTGAATTGGCTCAGAAAAGCCAAGAGGTATGTGGATGTGTATGTGTATGTAAATGTGTGTACATACGTACATATATGTATATACATATCACACTACCACAAATCAACCAATTCTACACAATTCTTTGGATGTATTCACACTTAGAAGTATATAAGATTATTAACTTGCCTGAAGAAAAGTATTCTGACAATTGTGCATGAGATGAAGTTTTATGGTTATGGAAATCAGACAAGAGATGATGGTTACCTTTCATGTGATCAGAAGATTCCCTTGAAGATCTCAACATCTTTATTAAGTATAATTTCCCAAGCCCATATCAAAAAAGACTCCCTTGAAAAAAAACATTGTTCTAAAAATGCTCTGTTCAGAATATTAGAATAGATTTTACAATGTACAATCTAACAAGCAATCATAGATGTATAATAAATGGAACTTTATTTTCACGATAGACACTGGTATTGGTAAGAGTGATTATCTGTTTCTTGGATTTAGCCTTCTCAGTAATTCTATATTCAGAAATGATAAAATATAAACTTTATTTTCTAAAGATCAGATAAGCTAGACCAAAATATTTGGGTTTAGATGTAGCACACACACATGATTGAAGACTTGGATCGAGTTAATTATTACTAATGACAATTTTTTCAAATGTGATCACTGTAACACTAAATAATCCACTAAAGCCACAAAACTTTGACAACTTTTTCAATTGTGACCACTTTAACCTGCTATAGTAGGTCAAAGTGGTTGGTATTGAAAAAAAATTAAAACTTGGGTAGCTTTAATGAACTAAAACTGAAATGGAGCTGTTAAACCTCAAAAAATGGGCAAAATATAGTGATTTTTCTGTATATTGTTGAAGTTGTTACTTGATTACCTTAGTTGTGGGAAGCACTTGTGTTTGTAACCACATTTATAGAGATAAATGTTATGTTAAATTGTAGTGTGTGTATGTGTAGCAAACAACTAAGAGCTTTGGTTATTTAATCAAATCCATTGATTTTTCATGTGTTGTTGTAGTGTTCTCAAGTCGGTGTTGCTCCTTGGTTCTTATGCCAATACATCAAAAGGATTACTATAGAGCATTGTGATGCCCATGTCATGGGACATTTGAATAAGCTTCAAGTGTTGATAGTATCAAAATGTAAGTCAATGGTGACATCAGTACCATGTAACACATTTGACTTCTTGTGCCTGATTACTTCTTGTGAATGAAACACATTTTGAAATTAGTTATTAGCATAGTTAAGATTACTTCGTGTGTCTGATTAATCTGTGTGACCAACTTAGGAATAATTACACAAATTTTTCTTAGCTGGTTTGTACATATTCCATTATTTTAATTTTTTAAATAGAGCATAAATTCATGGGTTGAAGCCTGAAGGTGCATAGAATGATAATCCATAGATGAAACTTTCTTATCTCATACCAAACGAGAAAGAAAGAAAAAGCATGAACCTAATTTGCTATAAAATAAATTTTCCCTTAATTCAACATATCTATGCTTTTATTTTGTATGAGCACTTCATTCAGTCCCTTTCTCTCTTGTACGTTGAATGTGTCACCCATGGATGCTTTCTTGGCAAAGAAAGATCATGAAAACGGGAAGAAAAAAAAACATGCCCTCAGTTTTAAGACACTGCAATCATTCGTAACATTATCTGAACTTCTAGTGGGAAACACTTTGTGGGAACAAACGATCACATGTAGGACAAAGTTATGGAAATGGACCCTATGTAACATAACGATGTAACAAAATTACAGAAATGGTCCCTAGTAGGAAATAAACAAAATTACAGATTTGTAGGAAAAAATTACACAAATGGACCCTATGTACAAAATTACAAAAGTTGCCCCTTTGTAAGACAAAATTACAGAAATGGTCCCTATCATGAAAAACAAAGTTAAATAAATGGTCGCTAAAGTTACAGAAATGGTCCCTCTCCCTACAACGCACGGGTTTAAAACCCTCATTCAATACAAGATTTAAACATCAAACTTAAACTCCAACTATCCGTTTACAAATTAAAAAAGGTTTAAACATGAGTGATGAAAGGATGAAGTTGTGACTTGTGAGGCTTCCTCGATCTCCAACACTCGATTTTGAGTTGAGTGGACCAATTTTTTGAAGCTCTGGATTCAAGTTGAAGGGTTGAATTTTTGAGATTCTACATGATTTTTTTAGCAAAAGAGACAAATTTCGCAAAATTTAAAGGACTAAAGACTTGATGCATCAAAAAGACAGCAAATGGATCTTACAATCTTAGTCGCAATCCTAAGATCTTAGCACCGATTTTACTTTAGAAAATATCCTAGTGTGGTCGGGACTGTTTTTCATTTATAGGATTTCACAATCGTATGATCCTAAGATCAAGATTAAGATCTTAGCAACTATGAATCCACAATTAATAAACAACCCACAAATTTTCATTACATAAAATAATTTGAACTTTGAAATGATTATACATTAAAAGACGAACCATAACTTAAGAAAAAATATTAGAGGCTATTGTTACTTGTTCTTTATGGGGTTACCTTTGTCAACTCTCCAAGTGTATCTTAGTATATGTAAGGCTAAAAGGAATGGGTTGAAATTCCTACACATAAAGAGATGATTGTAACATTGTCACAATAGACAATAGATGAGTGTGGCTTTTGTGACAGGATATAACTTGAGTAGTAAATTTCAAATACAACATTGTCAATCCCTCGATAGAACACGGTTAACATATCATCTCATTGTGGTACAACAATTTACAAAAACACAGAACTTTCAAATCAAAACTTCACAAAAACATAAAAACTGATCCGTGAATGAGCAAGATATATAGTCATCTTGTTTAAAACTTAAAAGAAACTATTGTACTGACTAGTAAGAGAATCCTTAAGATTTTGATAAAGCCCAAACAGAGAGTACTGACGAAGATTTTTAACCTCATACCATGAATTGAAAACCGATTCATGTTTATCAGTTCCAGAAAACGCGAGCTGTATTCCAATGCTACAATCAACTGTCCCTCCTCTGTTCTTACAAGAATTAGTTCTGATTGCACAATCCTGATTGTTAAGGCACACAAAGTTGCTTTTTCCTGAACATGAAGAACACCCGTCTCTTTTCCAAAACAAGTTCTGTAGTCTCCCCTTTTGGAATTCCATCACCTGTAGTCACAAAATTATAAAATCTTTGCTTAAAGTGACGCCCAATGAAATAGTGACACGTCAGCGGTAGTTGATATGATTATGATCTTACTAGGGTGAAACTGGTGACGATGTAGGTGCTGTTTGCAACAAAGGCAGGGATTGATCTTGCAGCGTATTTTCTACCAGCAAATGCCACCATATACCCACCAACGTTATCCTGTGTCAGTCAATATATCATTAAGGGTAAAATGGTCATTTACTTCCCATTAGCACGGTTTGCAAATTCTCTCTTCTACCCTCTTCATATTCCGCAAGAACAATCAATCAGGTATTGTTAAATGGATAGTAATAGACTAAGATGTCAAACGAAGTGCTTGAATTCCATAAGGGCAAATTCTATTGTTGAAGTATCAAAGGCATTTGTTGATCAAAGAAAGTGTATGGGATTCAAAATTTTGATGCTCCTGTTCTATGTGAAGATGATTAATTCATAATGCAACTTTTATACTTAGATCTCATCTCCCTTCTTCCAGTCCTTTATCAGTGTTAACTATCTATATGACCAAACTAAAACCAAGTTGCAACTTTAAACAGTTACTTTTGATCATTTTCAATGCTTGGCACCTAGAATAGAAAACAAACAGAAACATAAACTAAGTTTGCATTTTCTTCTTAGTGACAGATGATCAATAGCCGCTTAATACAGATTAATACCACCCTAGGTCTCACCAAATGCAACAATGTCACAAGTTCAGATGAAGAGAAACAAAAAAATATCAAGAATTAAACAGGCTTGTTCCCAATTTTCCTAAAGGGGGAACTCATACACGCACAGATCTATGGAGGGCTGTGATGAATGTTCACTTTCTCCAAAACAGTTACTTTCTATCTAATTTCATGAACTCTTTCCGGCTCCTAAACCTTATGGGTTATGACCATTAATACCTTCCATTTAGTATCAATGCGGAGGCTGGACGTTCAAAGCTTGTGAACTTCAGAACCCTAAATTGTTTGGCCTCTAGACTACGTTGTCCTCATCGATTATTCATGCTAAGTACAGATCCAAACTCAATCAATCCACAATATTTATTATATAATCGCAATTAAAATCGACAAAATTGAAAAATTACCGGCGGAAAAGTACTGCTGTTGACCGTGAGAAGAGAGATCTCATCCACTTTTGGGCGAAAGACAGCGAGTTGCGAGTTCGAAAGAGAAAGCCTCCTATCGCAAGGTGACAACTGAACCGAGCTGTTGAAGAAAAACGCAGTCCTCGCCGCAAAAACGATTCCGAAAGTGAAACCGTCCGATCTCTGTATGGTCGCATCGGTGCAAGGCGAGAAGACGTTGTTATTGTCGCTGCTCGGTTCGACAAAACGCGTCGTCGTGGAGAGAATTGTTACGGCGACGATGAGTAGGATTGAAGTAACCGGAATCGCCATTGCCGCCGGGAAGATTCGAAAAAGGTCTAACGATGTTGACTCAGGTTTTGAAGGTTTTGTGCCTGTGTAGGTTGGAGTGATTTGACGCCGTTAGATTTAGCACGACGATGAAGGCCCGTGACAGCTAAGACTGATATGCGTTGGATTCTAAGCATATTAGTACAATTTTTGTTGTAATAATCACAAAAATAACAAATATGGATTTTGGTGTTTGATTGTTTCTTTTAAGTTTGATAAAAATTATTACAAAACTTTTTAAAATAGTAATACGTTTTATAGAAAGTTATCACGGATATGTTCTTATAGCATACAAAATGAACATTTATTTTGTAATAAATAGTTTCATCGTGAAATATCTTTATGTTATAAACTATTTTTTTTCCTGATTTATGATGTACTTATGAAGTATAAGGCTATTGTTAATTTTTTTAGGAATCTTAACTTATATATTGCCATTGAGTGTGCAATTACTTTTCACAATTAACATTGTAAATTAGTTTTTATTGTGAAATCTGTATATTTTGTTGTATATAATTTCTATTCAATACTTCAACATATGGTAATCTTCATCTTTAATAAGTCTTCAAATACATTTTTCTTAATCAAAACCAATGTTTTAAAACTCGGGTTTTTAGTTGACCCGGTGTGATGACCGGTTCACGGGTCAACCGGTTGAACCGTCGGGTCAACCCGGTTTATGGTCTTTTTCAATTTTTATATGTTTTTACTTTCCTGCATAATGTATAAACATATAAAACCAATAATTTGATGTCCAAAAAGTTTAAACATTGAAAAACATTGAAGAAACCGCAAACGGCTCATTGTTTTGGCGTTCGCTACTTGTATCCAACTATCCAAGCCC